TAAGGACTCTTACGACTCGACTACCTCGACTAACTTCAAATTTGTCTGAACGCAAAAAATACAACCAACTTCAACAACATCTTTCGTAATACAAGAATTCGAATTCTTTCGTGTTTTTTTTTACAGATCTCTCATCATGGAGCTAAAATTAAAGATGTGGTTTATGGTAGCCAAAAATGGTTTCAGACATTACCGAGAACCATCGGTGATTAGAGGGAATAGCCGAGTTCTATTAAATATATTACAAACTACTATATTCAAGATATGACAATAATAATCGCCGTTATTTGTTTTTCATTGCGATTGTCCTCCCATAACGTTGTTTACACATAGTGAAAACTGACATTAACGCATTAAAAATCAGCCGTTTTTTTCTTTATATTCTGTGTTTTCCATTTCTCTCTATTATATTTTTAGAATGTGTGCAAATTCATGGGGATTAAAAAAAGATCAGTATGTCAGCGAGGGACCTGGAAGACACTGCCTGGGATCGTGTTCCAGAGATAATTACTTGAGGTGAATGATAAACATGTTATTCTAGGGTATGATGTATCAGATGAACGTAGGCGTCTTGTGCAACTATATCCGAAGACATAAAGACCGACCTTCACACTCCTACAATGGTATCATAACATCGATGATATTACTTTCAAACGCCACGTATACGGGTAATTATCGGTGTGACATGATACATTGCCATCATGCTCAGAGAAGAAACTCCAAAATATAAATGAAGATTAAGTTTGTAACGGTCAGGTTTTTGTTTTGTTATTGTTTTTCCCTCTCTATTTTTGGCTTTATTTTTCTTTTCTTTTCAATTACCTTTTTAAGCAACAATATTATACTGTATTTTTGTTTCGGTGGCGGCACCCATATAGCCTTTGGCTCTCCTAGCTGTCTCCACATTCATATGACATTTTTGTTGTTGTATTTTATTGTAATTGTTTTTCTTTAACTTGTACACTATGTTTTGTATTTTAAATGTTTTTCTATGACGTTTGTATGATGAATGAAACATAGATCATTTACATTTACAATAATTACCAAATGACGCCATTTGCGTAAGATCGAATGTGTACAAAATGGATGAGAGGAAAAACAATGAGTAAACAAACGCCAGAGGGAAAAATTGAATTTTTACATCAAATAGTTATCATTCATTAATGTCTAAATGTTAAAAAAAATGAATGAATTAATAAATGAATAAATTGATTACTATCCAAAACCCTAAAATACTCGCCAACAAAAAAACTGAAACGAATCAAAACAAGAGACTGTAAAGAGTTTTTTTAATGCTGTGTTGCTGTGTTTCTGTCCTTTAAAAACAAAGATTTGTTTTCCTATAATCCATCAACCGCATTCATGGCTTTTTCATGCAAAGGTTGGAACTGAGGAGATATATTTACCAGAGAGTGTAAGGGCAAGATAGTCCTGTGGGGTTTAAGTGACCAAATGTTAGAACTGATCGAGAAGGGATATAACCCAGAGAGCGTTCCTGTGGGGTTTAAGTGACCAGTGTGGTGGATACGGGTAGTAGATTGTTTAGATTGAATGGAGTTTAAAATCCGACGACCCTTTCTATTTTCTTCTTCCAAGTTGACATATTCTCAAACTTAGTGACATTCAAAATGTTTGATCGACACCTCTGACAAGCAAAACGTGAAACAAACTTTAAAAAACTGACTGAATAATTGAAGAGGACCAATCATCATTATCGGCGTCACCCATGTCTGGTAGGGGAATTCTTAATCACTCTAACCCTAAGGTTACTCCTCCCTTTATAATTGATTGAGATTTGAGAAGTGCACGTGTACTACTAGACCAGGCTTTGCCCTGTGGAAAGCCAAGTGGGAAATATGAGATATAAGATCATGACTGTTGTCACATTCGGATTATCTAGGCATGAAAATTAATCATGAATATCCATCAAAACTTATTCCCCTATCTTAAATAAAGGCCACACTTAATACAAAACCCATTAGGCAGATATTGTTTTTTTGCTTAAAATGTTGAACCAACAGTTACGATGATAGGCTATATGAATTAATAAACGATATTGGAATACGGCAGAAATCGTGATAAGAATAATACTGGGTCATTTGTTTTCTCTTTACCACTATATTTTATTGGATGATCAAATCTATACATCATTCAACAAAGTGATATATTGTGACAGCCCCTTTTCTCCTATGCATATTAATCATAGTCTAATCGTTCTCAAACTGGAAATTCAAAGTAAATCTTTACAAGAGAGATCATTAAGAGTCCATTTCACTTTCACGTGAAAAACAGACGTTGAAATACGATTTCTTAGACTTCGATTAAGAGTAATAAAGACTAATATTTCTGAGCCGGGGATTGGGGATTGAGGAGCATAATGACCGTATTCCTAAACTAACCTAAGGTTCCAGCTTTTCTTTATTGATTGGTGTATATTATAATTAAATCAGATTCAATGTATTTGTATTTATAAATTAAGTTACATAAATAAATACATTGGATGACCCCTAAGAAAGCAAATCTTTTAAGGAGGGGACCTGTACAAAACTACAAATATCAAGAAATAAATTAACATAAATGAAATTTGAATGAAATTTAACAACAGGTAATATTAATAGAATAAAACAGATACATCCAAAAACACCCACCCATCAGTCAATACAATACCTATACCAACCCCGCATTCACACGCACTAACAACCAAAAACAAAACACTTATCATAAGATGGTTTTCTTAACACAATATTTCTTCCGTTTTAGGTTTTCACCTCCATTAGTATGTTTACTCGGCAGTTATCTCATTAATCAATTTAATATAACATTTCTATTTAAAAAATGAGTTTAAATATTATAAAAGGAGTATATAGGTGACCATGGGCATTAACTGTGTGCAAGATTTGTGTGGTGTGTGTGCGTGTAGGTGCATGTGCATGAGTATAATGTGTGCGCGCGTGTGGTATGCGTGTATCACTGACTTCTCGATGGTTTGAACCCATTGCATAAAATGACGATTAACAAATGGCGTACAAAAAGACGAGAGAAGAGATTATATTAATAGAAATCCAATTAGGACGTAATTCAGTATTACATTACAGATTCCAGCGAATGTACTAAATAATCCTAACCAATTGTTATTTTCTTCAACAACTAGCAAGGCAACTCGTTAAAACGAGGTCCTTGGGGCCATGGCAATTACCTTGTTTTATCAGGGTGAAAAACAAAAGAATATAAAAAGGCAAAGAGCTGGGACCAGCAAAATCACCTTTTTATAACAGATACCTCGTTATAACACAGCTCTTTATAACTAGCTTCCACTGTATACCCCATACTAGAAGTATCGAGCTGTATAATGCCAACTTTGAGAACAAAGTGGCATTTATCAAACAAACTTTACGCCACGTCCGACAGTCCGAGACTGATGGATTACACGTACAAAATGATCGGGAGCATTTTATCATTATCTTCACGTATGTAACACATCTCAGTGCATTATACCAAATAGTTTACTTGGTGCAAATCAAATTACATATTAGCTGGGAAAGGGAATACTATGATACCTCGATGTAGTGACGTGCATGGATTCAGTGTTTTTAATCTCGTCACGTTATAGTTTCGATATACATGAAAGGCACTCCTGTTGAGTGAATACTCGACCACTTTAGTAATATAACAGGATCTTTGACGGTTAACAACTAAATGGAGTAATAATGCGCTGTTTCGATTAAACCCAATTGATAAATGATGCAAAAACATGATGAAAAGGTCGGAATACATGTATTAAAAGTAACCGACAGTGGACTTTCATTTCAAATAATGATACCAGGATGCGAAGGAAGCCAAGATCATGACAAGCTAATCATGGGTTATTTCTTGTAAAGATCATTTTCTTGAGTTCAGTAGATTGACTTTTAAAACCCCCAATAAAACCAATGTTTCAAAAAGTAGTCATTGGAGTTCAGCCCTATTCAGAAGGACCTTTGACAGGTGAGTACATGTTAACTCATTGTCTGACGACAGACAGCTCTACGTTTCACTATACATGTACTCAATCTAAGGCCTTTTGGCTATTTTCTTCATTTGTATGTTTGTCTGAATACCATAGAGATTCCAACCTAATGTTAATTAATTACGCAAAATACTTCTTAATGAGACCCTTGATTACAATCCGCATTGTGTTTGTTATATTTCAGATGCTCAAACAATGCCATGTTTGCTCATTATATAACACACACGTCACACCTCTGCACAAAGTGAGAAGACAAGAATAGAATGTTATCATGGTCAATGAGTTTCAATCATTATGGAATCAGGTAGTGTTGATCTAATGCTGTAGATTCATTATGATTAAACGTACTTCTTGTTAGTTTTGTGACGCAAAATCAGTCCATATGTTGCTATGGATACGACGGTGATGATAAAGGATTGTTTCTCTTCAAAAAATGTGAAAGAATTTTTATTCTAATTAAGGCCTTTGTAGTACAATACAATAGATGTACAATACAAAGAAAAAATTATTTTGAAAACGATAATCAGTTTGCTTGCAACATTATAATGTTTAAATTGTTTTTTGAAAGTATGTAAATGCAATTTTCTTGAAAATTATTTTTTACTGTACATGCCTTTGGAACATGAAACATGGAGGGCTATTTTTTACCCTAGACCGAGACAATGTCCACCAAAACATTATTGATAGAAACTATTTTGAGAGACATCTTTGACACTCCATCTCAGTCGATGTAAGATGAGAAGCAATGTGGAGACATACTTGAGCTTTTTCTATACAGTCATCAAAACAAAGCACTCATAACACCACAAAGATCGGATATCATCAATGACTTTAAGGTCTGATAACTATAAGAAAGCATATTAAGACAATTTCATTTATAAACACAACATTTTCTATTTCCTTTGCTCCTGCTCTCTCTCTCTCTCGGTCCATTTCTTTCTACCATTCTTCATGTCACAAAGTGTCAATAAAAGCAAGAAACACATGAATTGAATAATTGGCAAATATTCTAATTTATTTCATTTGCAGTTTATTTATTATACAATAAAAGTATCTTAGCACAGACTTAATCAAGTCAACTGCATACTGCATGAAGCTCTCTCCATTGTGGCTGTTCAATAATTAAAATAAAACGACTCAGAACATTTTCTGGGCAGCAACATAACCATGAAAATAAAGGCAGAGTGGAATATTAATACTGTGATGTATTTGTCTACGTCTGTTTGCTGAGAGGACATAAAGAACAAAGAAGCAAGGCAAATTTGTCTGTCAACAAGACAAAATTAAACTTTCCATATATTCCCCCAAGGAAAAAAACAATCAATAGATTGACGCAAAATGGAACCACAATTGTCCGCATATTTCATCCAGCATATGTCTACTACAGACATTCAAGAGTGGGAATCATGTGTAAAGGTTTCATGCCCCCGCAAAGTAGAATTCACTTCTCACCTTTCGTATTCTATCTTTTATACCAGCTTCATCCCATCAAGTCATGCATTATTTACGGATACAAAAATATATCATAATCCCCATCTTGTATATGGAACCCCCTGAAATTAATCAATGGCACTGTATCAATAATATTCATGATTGTATTATTTAAAAGTAGATTTCTTCTAATATTTTACATTATCTCTATGTAAATTTCAAAACTAATTATCAGTGGATAAAGTTGGATCAATTCTTACAAAATTAGCCAGAAAAAAAGATTACTTCATGGAAATATGACCTTACCAAAGGCTTAAATCTTGAGGGAATCTGCCATTGGCAAGGGTATTTTGTTTTTAAAGGAGCTCTGTGTTACATCTCACATTTAAGTCAGTGCATCTATCAAAGTATTTCATTTTCTTTGATATACATTATGGTACATGTATGTCACCTTTTGTGATTTTCATATATTCTTCATATTTGTAAAGCTCTTTAATAGAGATACTGTATTAAGTGCTATATAAAAGCTAAATATTATTATATTATTATTCATGAACATATTTTGTACAACCAAGCTCCCCATAGAGACCATACACAGGATTCACATAACTAATGTTTTAAGATCTTTGAATTCAGGATATTAGCAACCTACCAAGTGAGCAGGAGCATGTTCTCTCATCGTTAGCTATGAGAAACTTATGATGAACTCCTGTCCTGTCTGATGCATTGATTCAATAAACCCTAGCATCAAAAATTGAATCTTCAAATTCTGTTTAATACATAGCGCAGGCTGGATTCTGAGACACCGCATTTCAGTTGAAATTGTAGACATTGGGGTCTCTGTGACTGGTTTTGCTATGGGTTGAGTATGAGAGAAAACAGTACACAGAAACGTCTAGCTGCATCTCTACAATGGAATGCATCCTAGAGACATGATCTGTTATACCTAAGTCACACCGCCAAACCGACTCCTATTCCAAATCGACTAACTTTTCACCACTCCATGTAATGCAGTTTTATGTTTGGTCTGTCGTCTGTCTGGTGTCGGTTTCCTTCGTATGACAGGGTCAAATGACATTGAATGCTTTCAGACCCTGAGCCTCACTTTAAATCAGAATCATATGGCATTGCATTCTCTTTAATGAGAGGCAAACTAGCTGAATTGTAGCATCTCATCTGGCTGTATGTAAATAGTTTAGTCGCTATCCCTATTCTTTACCTTCCATGTGATCTCCAGACTAACTTGAAAGATCAATGGTCCATTACTAAAGATTTCCTGCCTCAAAGCCTTCTTCATTATCCTTCTCATGTTTTCATCCAATCATTCCTGAGAGCCAGTACTCTGCCAGCTGTCTTGGCTGATAACCGGTATACACCAACATCATTGAGAGAGGCTTCAGCAGTTGGCATGGCAACGGAGGATCCATGGGATGGTTTCTCCTGCTGGAGCTGAATGGCCTCCTGGAGGAGCAGAGCAGAGCCTCGTTTCAGGTTCAGCAGAACACAGGCTTCCTTGACACTAAACAAAGAGAATGGAAGAGATGCAGGGAGAGAGTGGGAGAGATTATTAATATCATTGCTTTTAATAATGGATCATAAAAGCACCAAATGCAATTACATTTAATATGAGGCAGACACAAGTATGTAAATAATTTTTTAATAAAAGACATTTCCTTCATATCATTAAAACCTCAGAACTCAGAAGGAAAAGAAAAAAAATTCACAAACTTGAATGAAGTATCAGAGGCAGATCATAGGTCACCTCTATAGTCTATACATCATTCATTTGAATTTTTACAGGAGCAATTATATTTTGAAAATTTGCACTACAAAGAGAGAATTTTTGTATAACAGCCTGTTAGCATGCAAGTTTGGATACATACATTGTTTAAGTAACTAACTTCATAATTCATAAAACTAGATTTCAAGTTTCATCCAAAGTTTGGGCAGTTCAAACAGATTTAAGAATAGGGGTGATGTGCCATGCACTTGGAACTTGAAACTATTTGATGATCATGTTTAGTGGCCCTGTGCGCCACAATATTTTCTTTAGTCCCATTCATGGCGAGGGAATACCTACAGTCTAGTCATAGAAACTCACACCAGAAAACCACACCAGACACCCACATGCCTACACCACACTGCTATCTATCTCAGATCAGGCACATTGATGATATTGATTTGAGTCCAAACAGCTAGGTCATTAGATTGATCACATAATAAGAGAATAAACATTGATTTCCACCTAACACCTCATGCAGTCATGAGATGGAGAAGATTTAGGAGAGTAGGACGGAGCAGCCTTGACATATTTCTCAGCTCGGTTTGTCTCCCAAGGTGTCAGGTGGACTTCCATTTATTGCAGCGAAACCACAACACCTTATGCTTGCTCTTAGTGCCTCTTCCTCTCTCTCTCTCTCACTCTCTCTCACATTCTTTCTCTCTCCCTTTCTCTCTGTCTGCCTGTCTCTCTTTCTTTCCTCGAGCCCCACTTTCCAGTTGTGATTTTATTTGATAATTTCCAACTAATACAGTGCAGAAGTTCAAGGGAGCTATATTCGTGTTACCTTTCTATAGAACGTGAGATTACCTTCAGCACAAATTGTCTTATTATTTCCCCAGAGTACATTTTAAGCTTTGAGGGCTATATTAATCAATGCTCCTCTGGGTGTGTTTTTTTTGTTTTGTTCGGCCTTGTTTTTGTTTGTTTGTTATTCCAAAAAGAATTGTTCATACTGTGACCAGGGGGTTGCTTCACAAAGACTAAGATTGACTTTAAGTTTAACTTAACTATGGCAGGCCTTTCATGCCACTAGTTCCTCTAACTATTCATGGCATTTGTTTCTCAAGGGACGTACAAATCATGGTCACAAATCTACAAAATTTAACTTTTGATAGTTCATTATTGAAGAGAAAAATATTATCTAAAGATCATAATTGAGAGACCAATGATGAGTGCAACTAGTGGCATAAACGGCCTGCCATAATTAAGTCCAACTTAAAGTCGATCTTACAGCGTGTCCACACACAAAACAATTTATCCCGAAACTCTATAACGATACGTCGTATAAAGAATCATCGTATAAATTCCAGGATGTCCACACACAAGAAACGTCGTCACTAAAGAATCATCGTATAAAATGCCCCCTGTCCACACACAACATTTTCCGTGATTCTTTATAGAGTTTCGCGATAGTGATAAGAGGTCTGGTCTCATTTCGCTCGAGGTCACGTTAAGCCCCGCCCAGTTAGTTACACTAGTTACACTCCCCCTGTCCACACACAACATTTTCTGTGATTAGGCGTGATTCTTTATCGAGTTTCAGTTCGAAACGATGCCCAAACCTGCGTTTCGTTAGACTAGTTTCGTTATACGACGTATCGTTAGTGAGCGTCCACACCTACAATTTTGGTCGTAAAACTATCGCGAAACGGTATCACTATCGCGAAACGGTATAGCTAATCATGATTAGTCACAGAAAATGTTGTGTGTGGACAGGGGGTTAGTCTTTGTGAAACAACCCCTGGTCTCAGATGAGAAGGCTTCAAATATCAAACTACATGCGAAAACACTAGTAAAAAACTTAAAACTTGTTCATAATTCCTGGTTTTCCCATCTGCTTTGTAGCATTATGTGCACTCCTGTTTTTGCAAATAACTTCCATTTTTGCACATTTATTATTGTATTATTGCCTACCAATCTACAAGATCCCCCCAAGTGTATAAGAGAGGTATAAAGTTAGCAAATAAATATAAAGTTTATCAGCACAACATGGGCATCACCATTTTGTTGATAACGTTACATACTACTATGCAAAGTTGTTTATCAAGTAATTCTTTTCAAATTCATAGATACTTCCTTCCTACATGTGTGTGGTAATGTAATATTTAATTCAACTGCTATTATCTTTTGTATTATTACTATATTGTCAGAGCACTAACTGCATGAAATAAGTTGTTGCTATTTTGGGGTGATGATTCAAAATATAATTGTTACCTTCTCAGCTATGATTTTCCCTCATCGATAAGTAAGGTTTTGTTATTGAATTAAAAAGTCTTTTCAACTTCAGCTTGGCGCATGATACATGTACAAGCTCATCTGGTAAATCAGATTATCAAGAAAATGGCTGCGTCCAATATCATTGTAAAATACATTACATTATGCCAAGAATATCTTTATTTATATACCTCACTCAAGTAATCCAGCAATCTGATTGGTCGAAATTGCATTCATAAACTTTAACTGTTCCCGAAAATTCCCGGTAACCATGGTTAGAAAACAGTTCAAAATCCCAATAACCATGGTTATTGGGAAAATAGGTCAGTCTCCATGGGTACCCCATAGGTTTACATGTTAAAAAATGGTCTGAGCGATCGAGGATACCGTACGTGTGCGAAGAATTGGTCGGTAATTTCAATACAATTGAATCTCGATCGATCTTACCGACAATTTTATCTTGCATTGTTGACATGAAGACGAAAATGAACTTCCGAAAACAAAAAAACAACATCTGCCGATAGATCTTGATCTAAATTCGTGCCAATATGCATTGCAAAAGTAAAAGAAGGGCCTGTTTAATGGAGCAGCCGCGAAGCATCCACCACGCGAAGCCGTTTCAATCCATTTTAATGTATATATAAGAAAAAGCTGCTCTGAATGGTAACAGAGCGCGATAGCCGAGCGGTTTGAGGCGCTGATTTTAGTAACATCACCTTTTGTACGCAAGAGATCGAATCCCATCTTCGAAAAAAGTTTTTTTTCTTTTTTCTTTTTTCTTTTTAAATTTTTTTTTTTTTGGCATATAAAAGTATTAATGACTGCTTTAATATTCGAGAAATAGTTGTTTTTATACGCTCTCGGGAAGGTTACAATTGGGCTATCAACCTCGGCACGCCTCGGGTAATAGCACAATTCTAACCTTCCCTTGAGCGTATAAAAACAACTATTTCTCTCAAAGCAGTCATTAATACTATATTATATATCTCTTGTAGATTGTTGTAAGGAATATTGTACATCAATAGGCAGGAATAAAACCCATCTTTCAGTATACCTCTATTTATTCGTTGCGGCGAGTTTTCATTTAAGTGACAGAACCAACAAAGCCTTACTACTTTCTGATAAGAATTGGGCAAAGAAGTGATGCTCCAGATTTGAATAAAAGAGTTGGTCATTAGTGTATAGATCTAAGCTTTTCTGTCTCGCTTCAAGGGAAGAGCCCCGATGGACCACCTGCACTAATCCTTAGCAGAGAGTAACCTATTTCCTCGCAATTACCATCTAAAACCTGACTCTGAAAGAGGATGCCCTCCTGATGTACTCTATTGTCATGGTAACATGAAGATGATTGCCCATCTCACCACCTTGCTCCTCATTGTCAGAGCTAGCTGAGAAGATCTGCTCAAGATAACATTCACTTTTAAAGGTACTGATCAATGAATGTTAAAGCCCCTCTGCACTAGTTTGGCCAGGAGGGATTAGACCTCCCTGCATGGTCACCGACAGGTGGTTATCTCATCAAATCAGCTCTCAATAAAAGGGACCATGGGGACCAATGATCACCGATTAGGCATTGTTTGCTATATAGAGGGCGCAAGTAGCTATATGTACTTCAGTTGGGCTTTAATTCATTCTGCACATTCTTCAACCACAGTAGTTTAGCATCAAAGTTTCCGGAAAAGAGAGAAAGCTCAACTTCACATATCAAAGTAAAAAAGAAAAATGTGTGCCTTGAGCATTTAATTAAAATGGATAATGGCGCTATATAAATCTCATGTATTATTATTATTATATGTCTGCACATGGTTCCTTAGCTTAGATGAACTTTTTCAAATAAGTTGAATGATCTCTTACTGTTTTTCCTCCAGCAAGGTCATATTCATTCTAACTAAAAACTCTATTTTACTTTCATTAGTAGCACCAGTCGAGGTACTGGCAGGATGAATAATAATAATTGGCAGTTTTATAGCAGGGATAACAACAAAAATCTGTTAAGAGCCATGCCTCTTATTTTTCAATGCTTTTAGCTGAACCCCTATCTTTTGGTCGAGGCTATGGATGGGGTTAAATTCAATACATTTTGGGAGTATAAAAATGAATTACACATTCATGTATTAAGGAACCCATTCTTTCCTAATTCTTTCCAATGCGCGGAAAACAAGCTTGGCCTTTTGAAGCTCAAATATAAAAGTGAACTCTAATGTCCCGCCCAAAGAACCTCCGTGTACATTTATTTACTGGATAATATTTGAACCCAAACAGGGAAAGAAAAAAGGTTCATAATGTTTTACAAGAAAAACTGCAGTGAATTTGGGATGTAATCCAGTTAAAGGTATTATGTCCCTTTGCAGCCAACCTCAAATGCTGTAGAACTTTGCAGGAATTATGAACATGTCATGTATGTCCTATCTGTGAAATTTAAACGTTAGCAGTGTCCTCATATTAAAATTATGCAAGGAAACCCGTTTACTTGCTAGACTTCACTGTCAGACACTATTGAGTGACTGACTGGCTTTTTTTCT